GTTGGGGCATTTTGCACTTTCGTTGCTTCACTTCTGGTTTACAAGTCTCACTCTGGTGAAACCTGTGAACTCTTGTGAAGCTGGAGCAAGCTCGTCAAGCCATCATGGTAAAACCTGTCAACTCGAGAAGAGGCTGTCTAGATGGGTCGACACGTCGATGGGAAGTCGCTTAAAGTGCAAAATGCCCCCCGTCGCCAAACAGCGCCGACAAAACAATAGAAAAAAAGAGAAGATAAGCAAATTACCAGCATTGTAAATGTCGGATTTCACAGGAAGCTCACTCAACGTGCGGAAATCACAAGGTGGAGGTCGTTTCTCACAGTCCTGCCATAGAGGCGGTTCAAGCTCTCTCTCGAGAGCAGCGTTTAGATCACGCATGCTGAAAAAGAGTGCAATTGTATGCTCAAAATAGTGTGGTTATCACAAACAAAAAAAAACGACGCAAAGTGATCTCTTCACGTTTCTTCCGCCGGTAGAAGTCTACCGAAGAAGTGTTTATGGTTCGCAAGGGCAGCGACTCAGTCTCACTCGAGTGAGTCTACACCCTCCGATCAGCGCTGGAGCGAGAGGGATTTGAGTAAAAGCAGGTGTGGATCAACAATACGCGACCAACGCGTCCCACCATTAATCACGGGGACGTTTCAGTTGCGCGACTCAACCAGTGGTTTCGCCAATTGGGAGCGCTGCCTAAACAGTTTGGAACTTGTCGCGCTGTGACGCTATGAGGCAGTAGCATCTGCGCAGAGCTAGCCTAGAACTGCAGTCTAACCGAAAAAGATGGTCAAAAACCATTATAAGACCGACAACAAGATTGTGGAATTTGGGGGCGACGGAGAGGGGAATTAACATGATTTAAGAAATGCTACTTATTTAAAAAAGTATGGCCTCGACCTTTGACCCTCGATAGCGTTCTCCGTGAAAACAAACAGTGTAGAGATTTGGTACCAACAACAGAGAATGGTAGCCCGATGGGCGCTGAAGGTGTTGGGGGGGGCACCATGAGCAGCTGCTCTTCTGCGCTTCTCACCAAGACATTGATCCCCTCGTTTCTTCGGCCCCGGTGTGGAGCGTTAGGCATTGTTCACAGTCTGCGGTCCAGCTTTTCTCTGGAGAGCGGCGGTTCGGCGAAAAGCTTTCGATACGTATCGACTGGCGGTTGGGCGAAGAGTTTCATAAAGCTCACGGGCCCCGTTTCGGATCCAAACCGCGACGCCGCTTTCGCGCTTTCGACGAAACGCTAGCTCGATCGCCGTGGCGTTTTTCGCCAGCGAAATCGATACACATCTATTGCTTTTCGCCCAACCGCCGAACCGCGGCGGTTCGGCGAAACTAGGTTGGCGATTCTCCGATCGATGACTATTTTTTGCTTTTCTCCCAACCGCCGTTTCGTCAGGGTCGCAGACTGTGAACAATGCCTTACCGTCGAGGCGCGGCATCGCGTGCACTATCAGACCACTTCCTAGCTAGTTGACTTAGTAGACACTGAGGGAGCTAGTCGACTTGAGAGACGCGGAGAGTCTGACAAAGTCGACGAGCCGCGGCGCTGCTACTTTGACTGGGTTCCGCTGCGAGTTGCTGCGAACGTCACCCCGCTCATAACGCCTGTCTCGTCGCGACTCGGAAGTAACGCTCCATTCCCCTTCCCCTTTTTCTCCAGGTCCAGTCTTACAAAAGCGCACAACAGAGCCATCGTGGTCTTGTTTCACGGCGTGACATCTCCTTCTGCGTCAGCGCCCACTGATAAGCGGTACTTTCCCACAGCATTTTGAACAACGGCTAAAACGGCACAGTTTTTCTCCTTACCTTCTCAATCCATGATCCGCAGTTGCTGCACCGCTCACTGTTCGATCTCCTCGTCTTTCGTTATCTTTTCGATTTTCCTGTCTGTCATTTCGCACTCTGCCTTCTTGTCTTTCTTCTCTTTCTGATCCACTTTCCCGTCTCTTCCTTTGAACTTGGCTTACTCCATCTTCGTTTTCCATTCGATTTCTCGGCCTTTCACGCATTACTCGGCGCTCTTGATAGTAACTAGGTCCATTAACAGTAGGATGAGCCGGCTGGTAGTGACCCAGGTGCTGAAAACTCATTTAGTAGAACGGAACTCGAACCGTAACCATCTCGGTTTAACTAAATTACTTTCAACTCAATGGCCACGTTTTCAAGCCAATCTCTAGCCGTCTCCTCTGCCCAGAACGCTCCAGGAAGCTTGACCAGTACGTCGTAGTATGTTTTCCACGCATGCCACTGCAAGTGATACTATTAGGTTGATGCATATGTTTTTAACCCCCGACTTATTTGTAAATTGATCCTTCCGTATTTCGTTTGCATGGATGTTGGTATTTCGTCATCACGTGTGCGTGACGTGTACATGATACTCTTTCATCACACTAGCTCTCA